TGACTTATTGTCATTGTGTGTGTCCCTCATCTGTTCTTTACTTGTCTTTGTTGCTCTTGGTCCTTAGAACCTGGAAACTCGTTGTTCCACGAACTACAGACGCTCTGATTTTTTAATTTCCTCTTGAGAATACGTAGGCACAAGGCCCCGATCCTTGGCGAGCACACTTTTCTTTTTTTCACAACCTTTTCTTTTTTCAACCTTGTCTTTTTCACACTTATCTTATTTTCACACGTAGTTTTCGAACTACGATTGCTCTGACTTCCTATTAAGGATACAGGCATAGGATTGCGAGATCCTAGCGAGCTATCTTTTTCTTTCCTTTTCTCTTTTCTTTACCTATCCTTACCTTTAGCAAACAATTTTAGGAAAAACACAAATATTTCAAGAGGTTCCTGTAGAGTATTACAAATGCTTAGAGTGCTAGTACCTTCCCTTAGTAGAACCAACCCTTGTGCCTTTGATCTCTCTTTGCTTAGCTTTAGGCCTCGCTTTTTGCTTTGCATTTTACTTAGGCTTTTGTTCTTTCTTTTCCCTTTCCCTCGGATAAATTAAAGATCGGTGGTGATATTTTATGACTTGTGATTCAAGTTAATACAATAGCTTGATATCTGATTCTTACCGTAAAAAATACCATTTCATCAAGCCCTAGGTCATCAGATGCACCCAAATTAGGGTTTCGACCTCAATCAACCTTGAGTTGACTTTTTGGCCAAGGCATGATGTCACACTTCAACACATGGCTCAAAGGCCTCAAGTACATCATCTTAGTTCATTCATACATTTGGATTGGTTCAAAGAGCTTGATTCATTGATAATTGAATAATTCTAGTTCAACTGGGAAAAATTAACTATGGATCAAAGTCAAAGTTTGACTTTTGAGATTTTTGGTCAAACATGGACTCCATAAGTCAAGGATCGTGGAAATATGAAGTATTATTGAATTTGATAAAGGTTAATCAAGAAAATAAAGAAAGGGATCCAATTGTGTCAAATTAGGGTTTTAAAAGAAATTCTAAGTATAAAAGTCCATGGTCAAATGGCTTACTTTCCAAGGTTGTAACTTCTTCCTCAAGCATCCAATAGAAACATTTGAGATCTACTTTAAAATAGAGAATTTGATACTACAAAGTTGGTGAAAGAATGGATTCAAAAGCTCTTACCATTTGGAAGAAATGGGTGGCCAAAGTAGTGGTTTCATCATGATAAATTTGTGGCAAAACAATCCAGAATCTTAAGTGTCAAAAAGTTTAAACTTCTAATTTTCATGTCCAGTTTTCTCCATGATCCAAGATGATTCAAATAAAGCTCCCAACACCAAAGTTGTAGTATTTTGTCTCCTTTTTTCATTGATACCAAGAGAAAGAATTTTGGAAGCTCGAGCATAAAGTTATGATTTATGCAAGAAGTCATGATGAAACTATTTCACTAGACAAATTTTCGGTGACATGACCAACTTGTCTTGCCACCCATTGACCAAAGCAAGACAAGTCTCTTTCTAAACTGATAAATTCATATATCATGCATACTATAAAAGGCCAAAAACCCCAACCACCAAGATTTGCCTCATTTGGTGCTACCAAGAATGAGAAAACATAAAGCATTTTTGTCATTTTCATGTTTTGCCAAAGTTTGTCGGCTAAGTTTGATCCACCGAATGTTTTCAAAGAAAAAGGACAGAAAATAGTGATTAAAGAGAGGGAGAGATATCAGAAAAAAGGGCATTCAAAATTTGAACAAAAAGAGTCTTGAACCATTGTTGAAAACTTCCATTCTTACTCACTCCATTACCAACCTTCCAACAACTTTCACTATTATCACAATCATCTCACAAAAACGTCAACACTACACTCTTATTTTCATAAAGGAATGCTTTATATTATTCTTCTTGCTATCACCCTCAAAGTCCACAACTCAACCTGGAGCTTGGAACATTTTCACCATTGTTGGTAAGTTTCAAATATCTCTCTTCAACCTTGTGTTTATATTATGTTGGTTTTGTGTATATGATGTATAGCATGTGTTTAATACCTAGGTTGTGTTTTATTATGTGTCAATGTTTGTTTCTCATATTGAGATCATCGTGAGTTATGTGTGAAATATATGTGTAAGTGTTTGGTTTTTTAATAATTTCTTACTCTTGTTAGTTTGATAAGGCAATTATGTGTACTTTTTATGACAACATGTGGAGTTTGATTTAATCAAATGGTTTTTACCTTTTATCTAACCTTATAATTTTCTACATTCCCATTCACATTTTCCTCTCAACATAAGATTCACCACCACTAGACCAGAGAGACCACGACCACATCAGGACGCACCAACTTAGCCTCATGCATCGTAGCCACAATCTTCTTAATTTTCATCAGCATCGTCATTCTCATAGTCTACTACATAGTTTTTAAACCCCAAGACCGCCGTCAATGTTGTTCAGCTTCCATCCTTCTCTGTCATCAACGGCACCGTTAACTTCACCTTCGCATAATACGCCTTCATTAGAAACCCTAACCGAGTTGCTTTCTCTCACTATGTCAACTCTCTTCAAATTCTTTATTACGGTACTTAAGTCGACTTCATGTTCATCCCCGCCGGTCAGATCGACGTTGGGAGAACACAATACATGGCCGTCATGTTCTCTGTTCCGAGTTTCCCATTGTCCGCACTGCCGAATATGGGTCCTACACTGGAAAATGGTGATGGTGTTGGGTTTAACTCCGGTTCAACCGACGATGGAGATTGAGTCGTAGTTAGAAATTGAGGGGTGTGTTAGGGTTTTGTCTTTCTTCAGTCATGAAGTATTAGCATCGACAAATTGATGAATGAGATACAAAGTTTTGAAATCTTTCGTTTTATCTTCCTTTTGTGTAGTTTTATGTGCAACCGTTGCACCTTCTACAAGTGGATTAACATCATTCTTGATCACTTCAAGAACATCCTGATAACCAAACAACACATTCATTTATTTGCACCACTTATCATAATTCTTCGCATCGAGAATTGAGAGATTTGCATGGATACGCTCATTGGAGATGCAAAGCATTTTTGCACGCTAAGTGTTCGATCAAAGAATCAGGCTCTTGATGCCAAATACCTCAATAAGAACAATGGTGAATAATGGAGAGATTGAGAAAATGAGAATTATGGTGAAACTATAGTATATTGATGGATTAAAATTTTACATATTGTGCTACATCCTTTATAGGATTATACTACTAACTAACTTCTAATTAATAACCACATATATAATTAGCATTAATCACATGTTAAACTATCAATAACCACATATTAAACTATCAATAACTATTTATTAAACTATTTGCAACCACATAACCACTTGAATTACTATTTTCTCACCAAAAACATTGTCCTTTGCCAAATAATACTATAAGTCAATAAGTAGACAAGACGTGAATATTTCTTTGTGAGGTACTAAAAATATTTTACTCTCTTCATCTTGAGTGATTTATTTGAAATAAAATAGTGTCTTAGAATGAATGATTCATTCCAATTTTTAATGTCTTTTTTAATTTTATCTTCTAATTAATATTACTTTCATTATTCTTAATACATAATAAAGATATTTTAGTAAAAATATCATTCTCTCTTTTAATTATTTATTCTTTTTTATCTATGTGAAATAGTTAACCGAATCATTCACGATAAGACGAATGAAATAATAAAAAATAATTCATTTTTGGTATACTAGGTAACGTGTTTTGTGAGAAGGTGAAGAAAAAAAAAAACAAATAGCTATATTTTTCTTATTATGTTTTCCTTTAATGAAATAAAAGATTTTTCCAAATAAAAAATCAATATATTTTTATTTCTTGAGTGAAAGGATAGTGAGAACTATACCACATAAAAAAAGTGTTGTTATTCGAAACTGAAAGTGAGAAAGGAGAGAAAATGGTGAATCTAGCATCCGCTTCTGTGCAACTCTCAAATCCATTTCCGCCATCTTCTTCTTACAAACCTCTTATCCGCAGGAACTTCCTTCTCTTCACAACAAGAGCCAACGAACCTCAAACACCACCCTCTGATTCGGACCCATCCAAACCCGATTCCGAGATTACCGCCACCGGAGCAGACTTTGATAACCGCATTAACCAACTCCGCCTCCGTTCCCGGAGGGGCGCTGGCAAGAAGGCGGAAGCCCGTAAGAGCCGAAAGTTGAATAAGGCTACTTCAGGGTCAGCGCCGGGGTCCGGCGTGTACCTACCGCCGGTGCCGTTAAAAGAACCAGTTTCCGGTGGATTGAAGGTGGAGTTAGGGTTTAGCAAATTCAGCGAGAGATTGAACGGTCGTGTTGCGATACTTGGATTAACGGCACTGTTGCTGGTGGAATTGGCAACAGGGAAAAGCGTTATCAATTACCACTCACCTGGCACTGTGCTTATTCAGTTTTATTTTATGGCTGCACTTACTGCTATCTATGTCAAGTTTCAGAAGGAGAAAATCAGTATTTGGCCCGACTCTTCTTCAACAAACTAATGTTTTTTCTCGTTTTCAAATCTACAGCAATGCTACTTGATAATATATATTATTGTCGTGCTTCAATTTGTACAATGATAAAAAATACTATTGCTTTAATCTGCTTTCAAATGGTTATAAGCGATCTTCATTTGGCAATTATTTTGCATAATTATTATACAGTTAATTCAAACAAGTGTATTTTTCTGATAATAATGTGATTTTAAACTTGAATTTTTATCTTAAATGTGTACGTCACTCTTCTGAATTGAGCCAAGATACTGAGAAATTGAGATTCTAATGTGCTTTTATTGCATATATTCTGAATTAAATTACATCTATAGTTCTGTCCTTTGCCAGAAAAGAATGGTAACAACTCCAAAACAAATGAATATCAAAGGCCATTACATATATTCTTTTTTCCTTTCATATTGTACACTGCCACTACACTGATCCCAGATTTAGACTATTTCTATTCTGAATGCAAAATCACCAGTTTACAAGTACAACAAGGGTTGCGACATTTTACGCTATAAAGGTGCCTTGGCTAAAAAATCATTAACATCAAGGTTGGCATCTCCGTGGGACACAGCATCGTCTGGCTCTGGCACAAACAAACTAGTGGATGAGACCTACAAAAATGAACATTCGTTAGGAAATTATCTATCAAAATATATGGGTTGATGAGTGACAGGGAAACTCTAAAATAATACAGGTAATTATGATCATAGAGCAAGTCCAAGCCAACTCTTGAAATGGTATGAGATGTGTAACGATTCAATCAAATGCAGCTGAGATTTTACATGTTGGGAGCATAAACTCAGCTTTAGAAAGAAAAAGAAAACCTACAGCTAATCCAAAGAGTAGAATCAAACATACTTTTGTGTCAAGCATCATGTCTCCATTGTTATCGGTTATTATGCTGGCACCATGCGCTTTCAACCATTCTAAACACTCTTCCAAAGCGGAAGCCTCTTTCTCATCGTTTGCTTCATTTAAGGGAACGGCAGTTGAGAATCCAAGAACCTGAGAGACGTAAGAAACGGGTAAGGTTGGCCGATATGATCGGCACATGCAGGTCACAGCTTTATACCGCATCTTTTCAACATATAGATCTGTAGAAATTAGAGACAACAATTCCGTTAGTCACCCCTTAAAATATTATAATGTATGTTACCAACCAGATGCAAGTGCAGAAAAGAAATTGTCAATACACACCCATAAGGCACGTGTTTAAGTTAGGAGCTGCTTTGTACAATCTAAAGAATGCAACATAATTTCCCGAAGTTACAGCTGCACGAACTGCCAGGGCATGTTTTACAGCTTCGTCCTTCTTTGAATCGACAGATAACCTACCATAGACAACACAATAACCCATACAAAAATAATGAGAATTAATACAACAACTCGAGGCAAAATATCAATGTGTAGCCAGTCATGTCCATCCAACTCTATCTTATTTGTCAGTTGTCAACATGGAATCACTAATTTCCACCCAAACAGCCATAAATTTGAGCCTTACGAGCCCCTCAAGTTGCTCCCAAACTAGCCTTGCCCGGACATTATTGCAATAAATTTTCAAACCATCACTTTTCTAACCATAATATTTTAAAGCTAAACTAACTGTGACAAAACATTTATTTTAATTGTGGTGAAAGACTTCAATAAATCAGGCACCCACAATAAACGCTTCACCTAGGCTGATAATGTAACACAACACCACTTTTTTCTCAATTATAAAATAAAAATTAAAAGGCCTAAGAAGCTACAAAATGGAAGAAACAGCAAATGGGAGAACATGGGAACAATAAAAACCACATCTACGGGTGCTATTTCTGAGGCAAAAGAATTAATACCAGATTAATATATTCAAAATTAATAGCCTATTTCTGAGGCAAAAGAATTAATACCAGATTAATATATTCAAAATTAATGGCGTATGTTTATGGAACCCAACTCCCCAAGGACTAACTAGAATATTTCAAAACACAGTTAACATTACGGTATTAATAATAGCACAGGATTCTGGTACATAATAAAATTTCTGCCAAGAATTTTGAAAACAGGAGAAATAGGTAAGAATTTAAACACGGGTTTCACCTTGCCATTGATGATAGGAGTTCTCTGTAATTATTTGAATGCATAATAACACAAAGCAAGTTGTACGCAGCAAATTCCATATACGACCCCTCAATCCCTTCAGCATAAAGAGCCTTTAGCTGGGATTGACACTGAAATCACACAATCAGAGTCAATATCTTTACGTCAAAAATACAAAAAGTTAAATAACATCCACAGCCTCTATAATTGACCGATCCCATTTCTAAAACAAAATGTACCTAGATTTCTTTAATGACTTGAAATCTATAATTTAATAATCCAGTTTACATTATTACATAGGTCACACCAGCAAAGATAAGTTAATATGGTATGCACGCTGAAACACACATCCACAACAAAACTCTATTGTTAAATTGGCTCTGACCAAGTTGTCGGGATCATCAAGTTTCTCTTAGAATCATGTGCACTATTACAATCTTCAACCATGTTTACAATCAGTTTCTCTTAGAATCATGTGCACTATTACAATCTTCAACCATGTTTACAATCAGTTTCTCTTAGAATGTAAGTATGTATAAGTACAATCTTGTATTTCAAGTAGGATTAGTAAGATGAAGGATCTTAATCTTATGATTCGTGTTACGATCCTCAAGTTACAAACTTTACAATGCCTGATTCAAGGTAGAATCTCAAGTTTAACAACATTTCTCTGGATGCAAATCACATAAGCATCATTATGTAGCTCATTGTTCAATAAACTTCAATATATAGAAAGACTCCACTATAGACCCTAATCTCAGAAGACTTCTTATGTTCTATATTGTAGAACGACTTCAATATATAAATCATATAAGTATGAATGACTTTGAATGAAATATATAAATCCCTAATCTCAGAAAAAAAATATGATAGCTATAAGGCTGGTCAAAAAACAATCTACGCATAAAATGAGTTAATATACTGTAGTATCTTCAAATAACATACAAAACCTAACCTGATTGTATTCGGGTAGGTCCCCAACTTCCAGTGCCAACCGGGCGTGAGTTTCATACACCTGAAACATCATTTCAAGTGTTAACAAGTTCAGGAGCAGTGGAAAATATTAAGTGCACATATTTTACAACAGCCACCACCAAAGCCTTTCCCCTATACGTGAGGCCGATTACAGGAAACAAAAGATGCATTATGTTCTGTCCAAAACCAACTTTTATATGGATAGGGAAATTTGAAGACATGTACAGAAACCATTACTGAGAAATACTATGAATAAGAAAAATTGGTAAAGAATGTGACCAGAACTCATCAAGACTTAGTAGTACCTTGACTGTTAGTTGGTTGTGTATTCTTTGCACAGTTAGGTCTTGGCGAATAGACTTTAACTGGTCACATTTATAAAGGTAATTCCTTTGGGAATTTTGAACCATTAATAGTGCTTTTTCAAGAATCTCTTCAGGTCTTACCTGTAAGTTCACAACATTGTATTGAGATTATTAGTAAAGGAGGGAGAAATAAGAAAAAATAAAAATAGCAGCACGCCATTTAAATTCTTAAAAGGAGATATTACAGTGGCGGGATCTGGTGCCGATGTTAGACGCAGGTATCTCTTTTCAATTTCCTGGCAGGTACCCTTTACAGTAAGAGCATCCCAGTCAATATCCTCAACAGCTTTGCTGACACCATCATCAAAGCTTTTGCTAAGCACCAGAGCACTAGCCCTTCTATTGTACAAGTTTCCAGCTCTAGCATTTTTTTTCCTTGAGTGGTTATTTTCTGTTCGTTGTGCTTGCCCTAAATCAAATCGCTTAGAACGAATCTCACGTCTTTTCAATTCCTCTGGTGTATCATTAACCGCAGAATAATATGCTGCCAAACTTTGTTCCTTATCACTATCACTAGATGCATTACTATTTTCATGACCAATAGAAACATCCACAAGACGCTGCTTCTTAAATGGCCTTTGGGGAGACTTAATTGATATTCTCTGCAAAAATGGAGAAAATTTTGTATTCCTCCAACTGTCTTCCTTGGTCTCTTTGTTTTCCACTACCACCTGCGTGCCATTCATTTAGGTGAATTAAAGAAAATCATCTATGTAACTAAATGAGAAACACTTAGCATTGTCAACATAATTGTACGTGAAAAGCACCTTAAGGGGAAAATACTTATAGTCCACTCTAGTCTTGAGTATAAGCAAAAAGTATCCATCTTCAGGTGTTCACAAATATATGCAAATTTAACTACTTTCACTATATTTAATGATGACATTCCTAAAATACCCTAAATTAATATAAGTTTTATTTGTAATGACTCTTATTCTCATGGAACAAGTTTCTATAAATGAAACTTCTGAGAATGTGCATACTGTTTGTACAAGATCAGGAAGATTAATTATGCTGGTATATATTTCTTAATAAGTGAGATTAGGTGCTTTTGCTCCTGGTTGAGATAAGAGAGGTACTTTCAGATGAAAAAGCGTATCTAAACAGAACATGGAGGAGAGACACACAGAAATAAACCCACAGGACAGACATGAAAAAATAAATCTGTGAGGTTCTTGCAAGGAAGAAAACCAAACCCTAGACCTAATATAGAAGAAATGTTATGCTATCTGACAATACTGTCATGTCTTAAAGAATATTAAAATAATAAATTAGCATGTTAGATTAAATATAATAAAGAAAATCGAAAAAGCTCTTGCACAAACAAACTAGTTTCTATACTATAAAAGAAAAAAGGTGCATCAATAAAATTTTTAGATGGTATTAGCTCACTCACAAAATCAACCATAAAAATTGCAAGATATAGAAGACTAGTTGAGGAATAAAATCAAACCATAGCACATGAGCCTCCTATTTGTCAAACAGCATGAAATGAAACAAAACTAACAATCCAAATAGTGGGGAAAAATAAAGTGAACTTGTTAACTGCTGTTGTACTCTACACAAGATTCATAAATAGAAGGTTAAAAGGATATCGAGCTGGAACTTTAAAAAAACATAACTTAGTATGTCTATAAATACCTTTCTATCCTTTTCATTAGGTACCCAACTACTGTATTTTACAGTATCATTACTTATTGGCACTGGATGGTCGACCGGCTTCTCCTCTGCTAATGGCTCCCACCTACTTTTAGACCGCCTAGGACTTTTTTTAGATTTTGGCAATACAAAATCATGGGTAGAAGATAGCGAATTACTGCATGAAACAATAACAAAATAAGAACGTTACAATAATTCAATCCTTTAAAAAAAATATGCATTGATTAGAAAGATAATTAAATATAAAAATATTCATGGTATAATATTAAATGAAATGGTTGATACACAGATCGTTAAATCTTTAAATTGCACAATGTGGCAATTATGCTTGCCCTTTGCGGTATATACAGAATCGTATTTTGGTGGAATTGGGTGGAATCACCCCCTGTTAATAATGAAATTGTATGATCTACGAAGTTATCTTCACATTGGATAACATCTAAAATCATATGGCTTCAATGAAAACACTACATTTATCTTCACATTTAACCCAGTTAAAAGAATTGAAGAAAAACACTACATTTATCAAATCTCGAAGATTAATATAAATCAGAAGCACTTGAAGTTCACAAATTAATAAGAATGATATGCCAACTCGGAGAAAGTAAACAAGAAACAACTTACTCTTTATTGACCGCATCTGCATCCGGCATTGGGAAAAGTGGTTCCATATCCCAATTTCGTGTGCAAAGGGTACAATCAGCTGTAGCCCTAGTGATCATCTGAAAAGGAAGCCAAGGAAGGAGTATGATAAGATTATGGAAAAAACTGGCAAATAAAATCCTGGAAAAAAAATTAATATTGTTGATGCGGATGAATGGAAACAAGAAGCACAACCAGACAGTGCAAAAAATTAAATGCTTGTTGCAACAAAAAAATCCCTGTAAACTAATATGCTAAAATAGGTATAATCTATCCTGGCTAGGTGGTGATCAGAGATCAAATAAAAATGTATTCCAATATCCGTTTATAGTTTTCAGAAAGTATATTAGAAAATTAATGTTTCAGTTTGCTGATCAGAAACTAGAATGAATTTCAGTAATGTTATATCACGCACGGCCAAAACACTAGGGCAGATGATTAGTTCTGGTGAGCAATCTGATTTTTCAGCAATTATGGTACCAACCAAGGAACTATAGTTGTATGAGTACCAGTTTCATAGAGGCAGAATGGAAGTCACAACAAAGACTTCTTTACTCCGGGCCTTGTTTCAACATTCCATTTTCTATTGCAACTTATACCCAATATATTGTTGTTTGCTTTGATAACTATCTTATTCATAAAAGATCACAAACATAAAGGGAGAGGAAAACTAGACAGGCAAGGAAGAAATTCAATTCAAGAGCTTGCTAAAAATTTCTCATTATGTCATTTCAGTACATTTGGATGCAGTACTTTGAAGCGAAAACTTATTTAGCTTAAGATACGGTAAATAAATATACGGCTTTTATATTTTATGGCGGCAATATGTCTCTTTTATAAATCTTCCATTTGTTAATTATGAACAGTGAACAATGTGTGTGTGTGTCTATTTCTATGTGCTTATATATCAGCTATCACTTGCCACCAACACTATATGTTGTGTGTATAAATTTGTTCACTTTTTTTCAATGATGCCTTCAAAGTCACTTATCAAAATACAGGCAGCTTATACAATTACAATGTTGTAAGCTTCTGCACAGAATAACAAAAGACCAAGACCAAGACCTCATGCTCTGTAATTTTTGGTAGAGTTACACAAGGGTGGAAAAACAATAATATAACATAAAAAGACATCATGCTCTGTTTGATCCCAAGGCTATAAAGATACAGAAATCAATTTAGGCTGTTGCAGAAATTAGTTATCAAAATTATCAAGAAGAATAATTCAAAAGTATTGTTTGACATTATGCAAAACATAGAAAAAGGGCAAACATGATCTAGTAAAATCAGTGTTGAATATCCGGTATAGCGCCGGTATACCGGTATTGCACATCGGAATTTTGGCTGTCCGATACGAAAGCCGGTATAACATTTCAATTTCGCGATGCTCACGATATCGCCGATTTTCTGGTATACCGGTATACCAGTTATGAATGGAATATCGGAAGCCATATTTTTATTATTATTATTTTTTTTATACTAAATCATTTTTAAAAACATTAAAGAGGGTAAAGAGGGTAAGGTAAAGAGGTGGAAAAGTAGAAACATTAAGATGGATAAGGTGAAGAGGAGGTAAAATAGAATCTAAAGAGGTGGAAACATTGAAAAAGGAAAATATGGGCTACTGAGTCGTTGCCTAGTATTATATATACTAGTTCATTCTTCCTCTTCTTTCATACCGAGTCGGTCTTTCATACTGAGTCGGTGCCTGGTATTATATATACCTGTTCATTCTTCCTCTTCTTTCATACTGAGTCGATGCCTAGTATTTTATATTTTTGTTTGTGGCTTTTCTGTTTTAGTTATTGGATTTGAAATTTTCAATTTTCAATTTCAAATTTGAGTTTTTATTTTTGTTCTAACCGCTTTGCGGCTTCCGCTATTTTGCCCGCTACGCGATCCGATATTTCTCATATCAGTTTTTTGTTGATCCGATATTTTCCAATATTGATATCTGACAACACTGAGTAAAATCATTAAGAGAAGAATTTAAGAAGAACTAATAACTAGCTAAAAGAAATAATTACTTCTTTGTTCACTTCTTCCAAAATAAAAGTGAAACTCACCTCTTTCATGACAGCCTGGCATGCTGCCATTTGCTTATCATCTTTACAACGAGCCAAGGCTCTTTCAACATAGCCGCGCAAAGACTTGGGGAACATACCGGGCTGTGAGCAAGAATAGTTCAATGATGATTATTAGAACTAAATACATAAAACTATTGTTATCAAATCAAGACTCAAATTGAAAATCGTACTTATTTTTTTGAATCGTAAACGTAATCTTATTATAAATAGTAAGATAGCGAACAATAACATTATGGCATTTTCAAGTAAAAAGAATGACATGAAAAAACATAAGCTTTATCATGTATGAACCATAAAATAATTCATAATTCAAGTCGTAAATCAAATAATAAAAGATAAGTGGTCCAATAAGCAAAGCTGGCAATAATTGGCTGGCTAGCAGTGGCTACACAATCTTCAAGTTGTGATTAAGCATAGTGAATTAGGATTTATCATTGTGAACAGGAATGCATCATAATGAATAAGGATACATGTCCAAAATAGATACAAGTCATAATTAATTGGGTTCAATTTTCGTAAATCAAGATGCGCCGTTGACTAAGATGCCAATAACCAGGCATAAACCATCATAATTTGGTTTGCAATATATGAAACATTCATGCATGTAATCAATCCCAAAAAGTTACTTTTGTAAATTCAAAAGTAGGTTCTTAGTGCCAACACATTGCAATTTCACTAGAAGGTCAGACCTCTGTATACAAAAGCTCCAAAATAAAGTCCTGTACTATTTTAGCCAGAGTTAAGTTCTATAAACAAAGCAAATATTTAGCAAGTATATTTGCATAACAGTTGGTCTTTTAAGGGGCTTTCCTCCCAGATAGCACAATTTAGCCCACACTTTGGTAATTTTGTTCCTTATCCTCCAAACCCTTTTTTTTCTTTTTGAATAGATCTGCCCACACTTCGGTAAATTCAAACACTGAATTGTTTGATTTGAGAAAACATTTTCCAGTTTCACACCTATTTTCACTAATGATAACAAAATTGTTACAGCTTATTTTGACTGTATTCCCATTTTCAAAAAATTGTACCAGTGAAATTTTCACTACTCCTATTCCTTTATTATTATCAACGTACTATATGGTGTCATATTATATGCATTTTTATTTTCTACTAAAATGAAAAATAAATGAATTGGCAGGGTGATAGTGAGTTTGCATTATAGTGAAATAAAATCAGTGAAATTATTGTAAGTCTACCTTAAGTATAGAATTAGCAGCAGCATTAGATGATACTTTCTCAGTTGGCTTGGGCAAAGAAACAGCAATATAAGCAGGTTTCATTGCTGCACTGGATGTGGAGCTATCTTTCTCGGTCTTAGATTGTTCAAAGGCCAAATTTGAAGCAATTCGAGGATTTGTGGGAATCTGAAACTTGCTTACTTGTTTTGTATCCAAAGATGGAGCACTTTGTAAGGGCGCCGGATTAACCTGTTGAGGGAGAGGGGGAGGGGGAGGAAGAGGAAAGTACAAATTGGTTCCTTGAGAAGTTACTGTCTTCTGTTGATCCTGAAATTTATCATAAGAAGAATTTAAATCCAAATGACTTTGATAGTTTGGTTGAATAGGATTAGTTTGGACAATTTGAGAACTAGTTTGGTGAATTTGGGAACTAGTTTGGGCGCCATGTTTCCAGTAACTGTCATAATCACCACTATTTACTGCAGCAGGCTGACCACCAAAAGAAACAAACATGAAGTTAATAAGTTAATTAAGCCAGCAAAACTACAAAACAACTGATTAATCAAATGCAACAATCTTGTGCAATTGAAGCATTACAGATTAAATAACCAATATACTAAAATACAGAAGACCCAACATAAAGGAGTAATTTTGTAATGTAGGCCAAAATCACAACAAAAGCAATTTGGTGTGAACAAATAGCAATTTATCTGTTCTTTCAAGCCAAACTGTTATACTGTTGGTTTGTCCAAACTTTCTCAGTGATGTTCAAACCTGAAAAGAAGGCACAGCAGGAGTGCTGGACTCTTGCCCCCAGAATTGTGGATATGATTGTGGTGGCTGGTTATTTGGAGTTGCATAACCACTAGTAGCTGCAGGAACGGGACATCCCAAAGTAGATGAACTTGGGACAGTCAAGTTCTCTGTCCCTGGGGCACAACTGACTTCTGTTTGGTTGTAATAGTCTGCCCATTGTGTGTATTGTTGCTGATACTGCACTGAAGTTGCTGCAGCACCAGAATTATAAGAGCTATTGGAATCTGGTGCGTAACTTGTATATGGATGAGAGGAATAACTTGAATAACTGCCATTGTTCCACACCGGCGCTTGATTTGTGTATCCATTGCTGTTTTGGTAACCTCCAGTAGTCTGATAATCAGCAGGATTGTAATAAGTGCTTGAATAAGTTGCGGATCCAGCATAAGACCCAGTACTCTGAAAGGAAGAAATAGGCTGATAAGGAGCACCTGTATTTTGATATGCTCCTACAGGCTGTGAATAAGCATGATTAGGTTGCTGCTGCTGATAGCTGTTATAGTAGCCTGAGTATCCCGTACTGCTGCCATAACCATATGGATTAGAAGAATTTGCATATGATGTGTATGCATTGTAATCTTGCGGTGTATTAGCTGTTCCCAAATTTGATGTATTACCAGCAACTGATGATACACTTTGACCTTCTTGAACGCTTCTTCCAGGTGGCTGCGGATGCTGATCATACTGGTAGGTTGGATTAGAATAAACTCCATTTGTCGTGGAGCTCTGAACAGTCCATGATACAGCTTCAGGTCCAGATGTTGTGGTAGCATATGAAGATGTCTGATGTTGGCTAGCATCAACAAGCCGATTCTATAAAGACGACCAAAAAGGAGACGTGAGTTACACATTTGAAGCATAACCAATATGCAGAGCATAAAGACAAATCAAAGTTCCACTATTTTGAAAATTGAAACAGTAGTTTAAAGATGCAGACGACAACTGCAATATAAAAATTTGGAAGCCTCCATGATCTTAATTATGACCGCATTGTCGGCATAGTTTTAAATTGTAGACTACAATCTCAATTGCGGCTGCAATATAAAGATCTTCCACGGTTGCAATTGCGACCACATTGCATGCCATAATTTACTTCAATATCGAAAATTGCAACAAAAATCTAACCCCAATTAAAACCTCAATTGAAACACGTGTGCATTAAGTGAAATTAAGTGACAAAGACAATATAGTAGCTTTTGGTTCCAAATATATAAAAACTAAATTAAATTAAATAGATATACATTTATGTCTAAAGGCTATGATAGTACAGATTCTAGAAATAATGTCCTGTATACATATTTCATTATTTTCTATAACAGGATCAGATATTTCTCCAGAAAATCAAAATAATAAATTCAAGCTCTCAGTAACATAAGGCATTAAGGATCAAAAACTTTCCAATTAAATGCAAGGTTTAGGATGAAGCTTAGTTAATTAACAATTTCAATTAGTTCATTACATTTTAAAACCTATACCGATTGAATCACAAACAAAGATTGTCATAGATTTAACTATCATTACCTCGAAAAGATGTGACTCGACCGGAGCTAAGGTCTCAGTATGAGTACCTTCGTTCGCCATATGTCAAAAACCCTAAATATCAATCAAAATAACGATATCAATTAATTTAATCATCACAAATCTCACAAAAACCCTAATTAGTTGATAACGAATGTAAACAAAACAATACGCACCTTTGAAGTTCTCAGACGAAAGAGTTAACGGCGGAATCAGAAGAACAGATACGAATCGGAAGAAAAAACACGGTGAAAATAAAAAAGAAGAAAAAGAAACAAATGATAAGATATATATGAATTACTAGTAATTAACAGGAGAAGAAAAAGAGATTGAAAACGTGAGGACTTTTGCAGTAAAACGTTTAAAGGGGTTATGGGCGAAAACGCCGGAACAAAACAGAGGGGAATATAGTGTTTGGGTCGTGATGCGAGAAGAAGCTTGGGAGGAAGAAATATAAACTTGGTTCGGGTCGGGGTATATAGGCATAGCAAAGAAGGTATAGTTTTTGGGTAGAGATAGATAATAAAGTTTGATTAAATATTTTTGTCGGGTACTCTAGTTGAAGTTTATTAAGTTTTAATTCAAGTTTATTAATTCATTGAATTTAATTATTAAAGATAATTATAGTAAAATTTATATATATATATATATATATATATATATATATATATATATATATATATATATATATATATATATATATATATATATATATATATATATATATATATATATATATATTTAGATGATTCATATGAATATTTTGAGATTTATATGCATTCATGTAGAGTGATGTAATTTTTAATTATGGTTGATGATTACCCTCAACATATTTAGATTTTTCTATTAAAAAACTAAATTTGAAACCAAAATTTGCATTACATAGTTTATTGAATATATCTCTACTTAATTTTTATCCAAATAAAGATAATTAAGAATTATGTGTTGAATTGTAGAGGTCTTCTTTGTATTATTATTCGGGTATTGATTCATATGGTTAAACTCTTAAGAAAAATTAATTTTTGAGTGGAAATATATAGACAATAATATATTTGGTGTTCTTTAAGTTATTTTATTGTAACAATACAGTTTTTTTCACTACAAGTTGGCCATTTATGTTAACTAACATGTTAACTATTGACCTTTTTCACAAGTTTCGTTTCAAAAAAATTTATGTGTCATTTAATAGTGTTGAATAGGTATTTGTTTTATTATTTTTTATATTTCTAGAGAAAAATAGGAGGAGAAACCTATTGTTCATGTGTCATTTATCACAAAACTCCCTCATCTACTGTTCATGTAAACAAATCACCATCATCGCCATATTATTTCGGTCAGACCTTCTTCTTCCTTGTCCACGCCGTCCTTGTTTCATCTTGCACCCTCTTTCGCTCTTTTGCGCTTCCCCAACGTCGATACACCATAAATCCACTCACAAAAACCTTACCTCATACTTCTTCTTGTTACTCCCATATCCACCTTCAAAACAACCCATCATCAATTCCTTCAACATAAAACTTTTGCCGCTAAACACTATAACCATCCCTTTTGAAAAATCTCAAATAGTAGAGATTCAAACATAGAACCACCTTTTTATTTTCATTTTTCATTTTCCATTTTAACTATTCACTCTCTACACAATCTACCTATTTATTTCTCCAATCAGTCAAATTAATTTTGTATACAACCACTTTCTCATTTAGTTTATATTCACCTTTATGGTCTTTCTTTGTAGAAACCACACGGGTTATTCCTTTTCACCATAATGTCTGTAATGAAAACCCAAAGAGACTCACAACCTCAGCTACTTTGTCGTGACACGTCAGTTGCATTGACGTTCTTTTTTCTGAAAAATTTCGGTGCAAAAAAGTCTTTTCATTCTATTGTTTACCTGACTCCGATTTTGATCCAATGGTGTTTCGATCTACTTCGTTGGGGTCGCAGTCACTCGTATACCTCTGTTTCTCCACCAACTTCACTCGGCTTCTCTTTAAAATCTGCCATTAATCATCAACTGATCCCATTGCATAACTCAATCACCACCGTGAAATCGTCCCCACCGAAGGTTGTTTCCTCTTTCTCCCTTTTCATTTTCGTTTTGACTGATGTGTGAGAAAGTATACAAGAAACTTGTTTTTTAAATGGTTTGAAAAAGTCAAACCTAATTTATTTATTTAAGAAATAATAAAATAAATATCTATTAAGCACGGTTAAATGACACATCAGCGTCATTAGTGTCGCATAAGCTTTTTTTGAACGGAGTTTGTGAAAAAGTCAACGGTGAACACGTTAGTTAACATAAAGGACCAACTTATAGCAAAAAAACATAAAAGATTGTCTTGCTACAATAAAATAACTTAAAGGACCTTGGGTATATTTTTGCCAAATATGTATAGACACATATTAAGTATTTGTTTGAAAACAAAATGGATTATTGCCACCTCACTTTTAAGAGTTCTTCCACCGTTGTTTTTTTGAAACTATAATTGTTAGCTTCTGCCATTTGCACGATAATACGGTGGTTTTCTTAAGAATGTCAAACACAGACTAAATGTTCTAAGGATCCTTCTTTTTTCAATCTCATTCTCATAAGTGTTATTGGTCATAAGTGTTATCTCATGTTGTGTTTATCATTAACCGATTATATCCACTAGTTTTAAAATATCAATTTTATTGTGTTGTGTTATATATACTCAACCTTTTACTCTTCTAGATTTAAAAGTCTTTTGATGTCTTTTATATGCTAGTACTTTAAGTCAAAACAAATCAAAACTTGAATCAGAGGGTAAGGAAATGCATTTTAAATGAATATAAATTTGTCATATATATATAGTAAATAGTTAATCAAATTATGTGTGTGAGTGAGTGTATACATCTATTTATAGTAAATAGTTAATCAAATTTTAATTTGTGTGTATTCAAATGTTTGTGTTTGTATTTACATGTTTGTGTGCACATATGCATATGTGAAAACTTTAGACTATTGTATGATATTCTATATCATGTCACGGCAAGATAATAATAACATTTCATGATAAATATGATTTCTACACTTTTATCTATACAGAAAAAAATAAAGACTCAACTGCATGGTGACAGTAGGGGTGTTCAAATTCAAACTTCTTCAAATAAAAATCGCAAATTTATCCAAAAAAAAATTGAATATTACTGGATGTGTTTGAATATCATTTTATAAAAACTGGTTCGGTTCGAATCGGATTTCGAATTGACTTTTCCAAACCGAACTGAACCGTGCATATATATTTTTATTCTTATTTTTAATACGATGTGTTGTTATAATTTATTATTTGATAATACTTATTCTTTTAATACTATTCGTTAGTTTAGTTTAATCTATTTATTTTTATTATTTCATTTTTTTCAACCACAATTTATCATTCTCATTTTGTAATATTAATTTTTAATATATTATATGTTATATATTATATCAAATCTATTATTTATTATCATTTTAGAATCTTAAAAAAAATACAATTAATATTTTGGATATCCAAAAACTGATCTAAATTAAATCACATGAAGTTGAATCGGATTTGATCAGATTTTTCTAATCAATTATCCAAAACCGAACTGAACCACAAGTAAATTTATATTTGGATCAGATGAGTTTTTAGCTCAAAACTGAACTGCGAACACACTTAGGCGAGAGTATAAAAAATTACAACAAAATCATCTACAAACTACACAAAATAGTGAAATTGCTACCAAAAGAATCAAGATAAGATATAGGAAAAAAATAATACCAACCAAAATCTTCCTCTCTAAAGACTAAAGCAAATATGCAAAAAGAAAAACTTTAGTCAGTCACTTCATCTAGAATAACCAAGTCATTTACCCATCAAATGGTAATAAAATTTCATCCTAAAATCAAGTGCTCAAAATTCAAAAAAATGAAGAAAAAAAAAAGTAGCGTGAAGTAACCAGTAAGGAGATTTTGGTCGTTTGAGGTAGATTTGAAGCTAAGTTATTGTTTTGTTAAATTTATTCTTAAGTTTAAACATAAATATAAGTTATATTGTTGTTTCCATTATTTTTGTTTACCTTCTTCTATCTATAATATTTACGAGGCTTAATTGCAACTTTGGTCCCTATATTTTAAGTTTTTTTTTTAGTTTTGGTCCTCCATTTTAAATACCACAATTTTGGTCCCTTTTCATGTTTTGTTTTGGATTTTAGTCCTCCATCCAAATTGAGACCAATTTTTGGTGAGGTGCCGCTAATATTGATGACCAATTAATTACAACTCATAATTAACTTGTGCCAAGTCATTATGTATTCATTTTTTTAATATTTATTTTATATTTAATATATTTCATTATATATAATAATAAGAGTAAGTTGAAAGCAATTAATTAAGTATAAGTAATAATGTTTATTCAGATGTTGCGCTTATATTGTTAAGCATTTTCAGAAAAGTGTTATTCCCCAAGTGTGTGAATCTTAACCCTTTTTCTCATATTCTTCCAATTGTGTCAAATTTGGTCGGTCACATTCTTCTCTTCTACTCATTTTCATCTATTTTCTTCTCCAATCATGTATAAATTGCGCTTCTCTTATGCTTCGACAAATGTGTTCGGTTCAAGAAAACGAGCGAGAAAATGTTGGTGTTACATTGAGTTACCATTGATGACTTCTTGGACCTATGTGAATCTTGAGAGAAGGTTTTATGAGTGTGGTAATTTTAGGTCGATGAGAAAAAAATGATGTAACTATTTTGAATGGTTTGATGAAGAAATAAGTTATCGTATAAAGGATGTGATTAGATATTTGAAAGACAAGAATGACGAACTAATGGATTTAATTATCGACACAAGGAAAAATGAAAAGTTGTTGAAGATGAAGATCAAAATTATGGATTTTTTTTGGGTTTGAGGTTGGTGTTTATATTGTTACTTATGTTTGCACTAGTTGCAACTAATGTATTAAAGTGATGTATTATGACTAGAGTTGAAATTAATGTTATGGATTATGAGTGTTATGTATAATTTATCTGTATTAATGAAATTTTGGCACATTGTTAAATTGCATTTGCAGAAATTTTA